ATAGTTGGAGCAGAAAGCAACCTGTCACTCGCAAAACTTGAAACATAATCTTTCACTACGATTCACATGTGATGGAAATTATCTTGCTTCTGAAATGTATGTTCTAAAAGCTTTTAGTACCAAATATAATGTCGACCACAGGCAACAGTGGTACAATTTTAATTCTTCCATTAAGAGTATGTACGACTATACGGTCAGATAAATAAATGTATAATTAGACAGATTTATGTACCAAGATATAATCATTCATTATAATTATTCATTACCCTCGCATCTATTAACCCCTAAATTTTTAAAAGCTTGTAATGGGCAACTTGCTATTCTTTCAATTTAAATGAGAGAAACGGGGGTGACAGTGTCATAGATAACGAGTCGAGTCGCACAAAGGCACAGCAATTGTACAATTTTAGCTTACGACTTCTCGTAATTATACAAAGAAATATGTTAGATCATATCTCGCGAAGTTTTCGCGTGTACAAAGAGTGTCGAGTAAATTTGTAACGCTTGTCAGACAGACACGTCGCATATATACACGCCCGACGTTTCAGAAAACCGAAGCGAGTCGCAGAAGCGGGGGACAATTATGCCGTCCGACGTGGCAGCTAGTTGAAAAACTGCGACTTTACACGGCGCGTTAAGTACGTATAACAACCATCCGCAATTATGCGCCGGGAGACAAACGTGCAAATAAATGTGCAACTTCTATATGCGCACGTTTCGGAGTGCGCGGGATGACTTCCCGAGTGTGTCTCAACTATTGTGCGCCTACGCAAAGCAAAGCGTATGACATACTGTAAAGTCAGTCCTGTTACAACAGTATTAAAATATCCAGACACAGTTACTTGAATAATAAAATAGCTAGATATAGATAATGATACACTAGGCTCTATTCTGTTTAGCAGCATATAATCCTGCATCTTCCTTTCTTAATAATCCTTTCTTGTGCTTTTTTCATTTACATTCTGTCTACACACTTTAAACGAGGGAAGAATACAAAAAATTCAAAAAAAAAAAAAGAAAAGAAAAAAGATCCCTGTTATATCTGAATAAAAAACACGGATAAGAATCATAAAATATTTTATAGACGTAGTTAAAAAATTAAGAGAACAAGATTAAAATACTGCAATAATTAATAATAATAAATAAATACACACACAAAAAATGTAAAAAAACGATACTTAAAAACTTAGATTAATATTATGACTTAAGCTTTTTATAGATGAATAAACAAAAAAATGAAAAATCGGAGTTAGGGTTAAAAACCTCGCATTCGAAAAAAAAGCATAATGATGGAGCAAATGAATAACTAACTGCTTGCTAATCATAAAAAAATGAATGCCTGTCAGCGGACATAATATAAGAGCCGATTCAATATCTGATCGTGTCCAGTTTCATTTATTCGCCGTTATAATATAATTAACGTAAATTTTCGAGCAACATGCAATAAATGTCCAATCATGAATAAAATTCAAATTTAGAATCTTAATATACGTAGACATCGCTATCATCATCATCTTCATCTTCATCATCATCATCATCATCATTATCATCATCATCGTCGTCGTCTTCATTTAGTTGATTTGCATTGATTTGATTCGCAAAACCATAAAAGTGTTATCCTATCTCGGCAAACTAAGCTCTTATATTACCGCTTTTACATATGTCGTTGTCCAGTATTTTACGATAAAAACAGAATTGATTAACACATGTAAAAAGCGTTAACAACTACGCGGAACCAGCGGTTAGGTCAGCTTACTTCACCTTATTTACGATTTTATCGAGCCACCTGCGGCAGAGATTACGCCTTCCGAACAGGTTTTCGTACCGCGTTCGCAGTGACATTCACTGCTTGTAGATCGCTGAAAGTCTAACCGCGTAGAATGTAGAAAAGGAATCTCATTGCCTTTGTTGGCGCGCCGGAAAGAGAGAGGTGCTTCTCGAGAAAGCCCAGATTATACATCAGATTGAAGGTGCCGACGTGGACGGGCGACGACGTCGTTGCCGATGCCACTTGAGCTCGAATCGTATCTAAATGCACCCTCGTATATCAGAAATCGAACTATTCCTCGGCTACGGGACGGTTTACATACGTCATTTCGCGAGAGATGGCCGCGCTACTCTGTTGCAGATGCGTCCCGACTATCTCTCGTGTCTCGTGACAAGCCGCGAGCGGAAATTTTCTTTACCCCTTTCTTCCGCCGCTGTCGTTGCTTACGATTGACTCACGGGACGTTTCGAGTATTTATGATAGGAATACGAGATGCAACGGATAGATGCAACAGGAGGAATGAAACGTTATTTCGTGTCACGACACGTTATCACGGTGTTCCTCCGTTTCTCCTAACAACAAACTCTACTAACATAATGTCGTAATTTAGAATCATCACTGCGATAAAAGAAGCTAGAAGCTCGTACAACGAGTCATTTCCTCCCGCATAAGTATGATGCATTTTTCAAGTCGAAGGTGTTGCTTTCTCTTAAGTGTGATGTTAGCATGAAATGGCAACATCTAAGTTTATACATTCGTTATGCAGAATCGGTGCATTTTAACTCATAAACAATGGTTTCAGTTATATAATTATAACATTGCATACAAGTGAAATATTGCTATTGTTTTAATCAGTATTCATTTTCACTGCTTTAGTTTAGGAAAGTTAGTTTCATTGTAGAATCTGCGTAATAAATTAATAAATGCATTTCACATACTTAAGATTGCACTAACGGAAATACAAATAGAAGAGCGTCAGAAAATTGATATAGCGGTAAATCTTTATGGTTCTTATTGTTAAATATGCAAATGTGATCTATAGATACCTATTTCGTATTAACTCTTTTGCATTTTGAATTTCAATTAACGTTCGGTAATAAATTTATGTATGAATAGATATCCATTTATTTCACAAGTGTAAGACTACACGGTACGAAGCTAAGTAATTAAACGAAAACACGTGACGACACTGCCAATGGGATAGCACACGTGTGCCATTGTATGCACCGTTCTCCATGGATCGAATATAACAAATACGCGTCCCACGTAAAACAACGAATCGATTGATGCGGGGGAGTGCTTGTTCCGGCGATGTTTTGCTATGCGTATGCCGATTCCGTCGTGAATTGCGCTCTGCGCTGATCGAAATAACGATTTCACGCTTTAATTGGAAAGAGGTCAGAGGTTACAAATCGTATCTCAAAGTGCAAAGGTTCGCGGTTATAATGTATATGCGCTCGGGAGAAATTTTTTGCTCCTTCTTTAATCATGATCACTCTGTTATTATCCCCGCTTTTTTCTTTTCGTATCAGTGTGTTCATTATATTTCTTACTTTAACAGATTTCAGAAATATGAAAGAGCTATCAGAAACTGAAAAAAGGGAGAAAAAAGAAAGCGTGAAAGACGAGATAGGTAGACTAAAAGTTAAACAAAACATTTTAAAAATCATATGATATTGGAAGAATGTTAGTAAGAGTTTCTCTAATTAATATTTACCACAGTAAAAATATTAATATCTACCACAATAAGATAGAAAATATGTAAAGAATTAATTTACTACGTATATATTAATATTTTTTATTGTAATAAATATTAATCAGAGGAACTCTTATAAGAGAAAATCTAAGAGAAAATTTTCTCTCCGTGTATCCATGTAATCAAAGTATTTAAGATTCGACAATGTTTCATTATCGCATACATAATATGACAGTTATGTAAAGAACAAGTGATATACCTATCTTTTCTGCGTGTGAACTTGTGAGCTCCGGAAGTGGGCATTCACGATCATAATGTGGCACGTACTGTCTCAGTCCACAATAAGTAACATCTTCCTACAATTTGAAGTTTCACGGGTAAGTCGACCGCGGTTGATCGCTGTAAAGAATCCATCTATGTCGTGGCCGCAACCTCGACCACAGTCTCGCGCAGTCGCCATTAAAAACAGGCAACGGCATTAGCTTGCACGGCCTCGCAAGGCGTGACCTGCTGATGGCAGGTAATTGAATATCTTTAGCGCCTCTTTGAAGATCGACGTGCCGCGTTTCGATTCGTCTCGCTTCAGAAAATCTCCCTTCATACATCCCCTCTCTTTTGTAATCTCTCAAGTATTCTTCATTATCTTAATGGCTTATTACGTCCCCTTCGAGTATTATGTAATTTTTCATCTTGTCTCTCACACATCAATGCATCCTTTTATTACACACATATATATATATACGTATATAAAATAAAAATTTAAAACAAAACAGAAAGAGTATTTCTCTTTCAGTTAAATGACATAGTTTTGGATTTAAATTTGACAAGTGTTGTAAAGTGCATTTTTAAAAAGAACATATCTGAATTCTTTAAAGTATTCCATTAAACTTTTATTATTATTTTCTCTTTCCTCTTTTATCTCTTAGTCTTCTTCTCTTTCTCTCTACTTTCTCTTTCTAACAACCCCAACTTCAACTGCAAGTTTTCCACGAGTCACGATCGAAGCTCCCGTCACATAGCGGAGATTAATTACGATTTAGCAAAGAGCGGATGACGTATGACGAGACGTGGGTGGAGTGCCTACTTTGTCGCTTATCGCAATGCGGGCCAATAACCTAGGAAGAACATGGTACTCGCGCGCCGGCGAATGATAAACGCGCTGATCTATCAAAATTGCAGACCGACCCGACAACGTCTATAGAATACCAAAATCACATGCATCGGACCTGAATGACATAACAGTGTATGCCACTTTGCTGATGACCTGTATGCAATACCTTGTAAAATTCGGTTATCAAAAATAAATAAAGGATCTGTCGCCACGTAATTTTTTGAACAAAACATGTTACATTTGATAAACGTTTATGAAAAATTTCAATTTTCACACAATAATATTAATTAGAAATATTTAAATGAACGGGCTGTATAGGTAAAATAAGTTTCTTAAAATCACTATGAAATATTTTTAATATATCGTTGTATGCCAAATCTCTTATAAGCAATTAATTAATTTGATCATTTTTCTATGTGTTTCAGGCGCGCTGTCGCAGTCCCAGTTTCCCGTGTTTACGATTTACGCCCAGAAGAGTTGCCTGGCGGTGAAACCGTGCGAGCGCGCTTGGTGCATCGATAGAGTCCAGGGACACCGTCTTCAGGGTCACGCACGCAGAACCATGACCGCCTCCTCGAGGCAACACTGCCTCGAGCTCTGCCTCGGCGAGCGAGACTTTCTGTGCCGGTGAGTACTCCGCGCAACGCGGAGCAATTTCCAACTTATATACGTAAGCGTAGAATCGTCCGATTGCTCGTTTTCCACCGATCTGCTTTCCTATCCGCTCCGTCGCGGATACCGTGTCTATGTGGAGCAAAAGGACGAACCCGGACTCGTCGTAATATTCGTTGTGAATCGGTACGCAGAGGGAACGCCGCTTCGAGTAGCCTTCGAGGAGCGTACGCTCCAATGCATTTTCCACTTATTGGATTCTTGGACCAGCTAGACGACGTTACACCACGCTCCTATACACACTCGAGTGTTTCTCAGACGAGTGTTTCTCATGAACCGTACGCTCGAGCATTTCATGCGAAAGAAAACGGCTGAGAATACGATAAGGGAAAGGGTTAGACACGGTCAAATCAGCCCGCACTAAAATTGCTCTGTTTTCGAGAAAAGTTTTCCTCGATGATATACCTAAGTAAGAATAAGGTGCATAATCAATAAGGCATAAAGTTTATTATATGGAATAATATTATAGAGAAAATCTCATTAAAATAAAGTATGATATTCCATATAATTCGCTTGTTGATATTTTTAGAAATAAATTGGCAGACATGCACACACGGAATTAATTAAAGACGCAAACAAATTATTTAAATATTTCGTTACATTATTGTGCGACAAGCACACAATAATATAATAGTCGATAAATAATAATTTTCCTCGGTATTATTAATTTTACGCGAAAAATATATATAATCAATCATATCATAAAATGATTATGAAAGAAATAATAATATTCATGTCAATACGTTTATTCTCATAAATGCACGGTGTGATATATTATATTTCGCCACACCACTCTGATTATTATGACAGATCATCATAATAACAGTTCGAATAAAAAAAACTAATGTATTATTATATGCAGATAATCTCTCTCTCTCTCTCTCTCTCTCTCTCTCTCTCTCTCTCTCTCTCTAAAATAAAATTTATTCTCAACGCCCTCGAGCATATTACAATGCAATGATGTCGATTAATTTCAACCGCGCCTTGCAATCATATTTTAAAATTTATAGACAATTTCCGCCTGTGTAACGATCGGAGAAGTTGACATGGCATGCGACTTTACTAGCTAACGAACTAGACATCGAAGCCGTTTGTTTTACGAGCGTAGGCGCCGCTAATCCCGCAATTGACGAACGTGTCCTTGTTGCAGATCACTTGTATCGTATCGCGTTGATCTTATTTATCGTAATGCGTAACGGCGCGTAACCGGATGCAATAATGCGTATCGCGCGGCGTCCTTATTGCGCGCGCGCTTATAAATAATGCAGTTCCGCGTGGACCCAGGATAGCGCGCGCTCTACGTATGCGCTTGCTGTGGTATCCGGAGCTTAATGACCGATGCACTTTCATTACTTCCACAGCGAACGAGAGAGAACAAGAGATAGGGAAAAAATGCTCGCGAGAGAAAGAGATATAGAGTGGCACGCGAGAGTATCGCGTTACTTTACGGTACGATTATATTGCATTTTAATTGCTCCCTTTCATACGTGCCGCTATATGGCAAACTGTTCCGATATCGCGTAATACGAACTCTATTCCTCGTATACAATACATTACATATATGAAAATCGCGTGAAAAGGGGATATCCCGTTTCAACGGGACGAGAGTGAACGGATGCGATATTCATGCGGTACCAATTATGCGGTGTTACGCTCTTCTGGTAAATAGATTTATTCTCGTACGTTAAAATTTGCGAATTTTGTCCGGACTTATTCGCGCGCGCATTCATCTCGTATTCCCTTTGATACACAAGTTGAACGTATCGGATATTTCTCAATGCCACATTCTTTCTAACTTGCGGGAGAGAAAGACAGAGAATCGCGTTTTTATACGCGCATCGTTATTGCCAATTCTCTTTCTTCGATCGTTATCATAGGTTACAAGTGAGCATCTAGACAAGAATGATTTCTCTCGTGCCACGATCGACCGTTAGACACTTAAGAATTTTTCTCGCGGAAGTAATGATTATATCGATCCGAAGACTTTCTACGATTCACTATATGTTGATTTATATGCTAATCCGTACAACCCATCTATCAATTATAGCACTGATCTATAATTACATTCATCTTTGCAATGCACTTTTTACCACACATCGTAGTAAGTGTATTTTTATCTCGCTTCTTTGAATGCGGCAAGCATCTCGAAGAAAACACACGTGCCTGCTCGAATGGACAATAGCGAGTCCCGTAAAAAAATGTACTTTTCTCTGTTTGACTGTAATTGAACTAGACAGATTTTTCTGAATTTTACCGTGTTATTTTCTACATCGCTACGCTATAAACTTTGCACATGTAGATGTTGCAAGGCTTCTTTCTGATTCGTTATTAAAAGAGCGCTACCCCCATCAATTTTCTACGGCGATCCCGGCGCGACATAAATGATATTGGATTGTGGTTAGTTGTGGGAAACCAAGTGTCAAGGTATCAGACACTTTTCATTGACCAAGTATGCGGAAGAACGACGGGTCGGCGCGTCTTCCGATTTCGATAAAGCTCGGTGTTGCAGCGCGCGTTTATGCGGTATCACGCCGACGCGTCAAGGTTCGCGTCCGTGAGGCCGAGCGTGCCGGGTGAATGTGCACGTGCACACTTTGAAAGCCTCCAAAGCGAAAGGTCTCTGCCAGTTGGTCTCTCGCGGGCGACCCCGGAGCCTGGCCCCCGGTCGACTCCGACCCGAGACAAGGTCGAGAGGTCCTTGGCCAGGCGGAACCGTATCAAAAGTGGCATGGCTACGCTTTTTGAGGCCCCCGGTGTTTGAGGAAACCGTGGAAAAGAGAGCACCGGCGTGAATATATGCATGAGCGACCCAACTGCTGAAGCAAATTTCCTGAACAAGCGCGCCAGCGCCGGGGCTGCAGGCATAATCCGCTTTAATCTTCTCCTCGAAGAAATGGAACGGCGCGAAAAGAAAAGGAGAAAAGCTAAGAACTAAGAATTACTATTCTCCGCTTCCGTCGTTCTCGATTATTTGCGCGTGGCGCTATTTCCGGAGTGACAAAAAAATCACTACCTAGGTATATATAATTGCGGTTACGCCCTTTTAATCCAATTCGATATGCGAGGAGGGTGCTCGGCTAAAACGCGCGCGCCACGCGGAATTCGGTCAAATAATTAGCGTTAATTTATTTCGGGACGATTTATTGTGAGGGTTGGATGTAACGTTAATATTAATTGGCATTGCAAATTGAATAGGGGGAATAATAATTATTTCATATACGCTCGTTCCAGCGGAGACTGTTTAATCGTGAGCATCCGTATTCATAAATGTTGCGAAATAATTCGGTACGAGAACTCGCGCGGTGATATCGACTAGAATCATATAAATCGAGCCGGTATCGAGGCGAAGCGATCGACAGAAACGTGCTCAGGTCCCGGTCGCGGCAAAGAGAAACAACAATGAAACATTTATCCACGGGCGAGATAATGCACGGATTCAGAGATCATTGCGAGCAAAGAGTATGTATGTATACACAGGTCATACACATCCTTAGAGTTCGCATAATCTCTCTCTCTCTCTCTCCCCCTTTCTCACTTTCTCTACTCTAACCCTAGGCTAACCCTGGGAGGTCAATGGTGTGTATAGCGGTAGAAAACATTTAGGAAATTACGTAAATGCATACTTTGTTGTTCGGAAAAAGTTCGGAGCGGAATGGAACGGGGATGGAAGAAGAAGAAGAAGAAGAAGAAGAAGAAGAAGAAGAAGAAGAAGAAGAAGAAGAAGAAGAAGAAGAAGAAGAAGAAGAAGAAGAAGAAGGGTGACCTCGGCGCTTCGACATCAACGCGGAAGAAATCCGCGGGAAGGAAGTTGGCTGTTTCATTAAATGTAGATAAATCTCTGCAGCTGCGCATCCTCGGCGCGCGCCCAACTGCAATTGTTTGTTCTCTGTACCGCTCGCGGATAATCAAGAGAAACTCGCGGCGTATTATGTTATTGCGCAACAATGCGCGCGTGTGATCTCGAAGGTCGAAGGCAGACGCTCTCTGTCGTGACGCTCCGGTTGTCTCGCAAGAAGGGTAGAGGCCCTTCGCGCTACTCGCTATAAAGAAGAGCGCCGATGAAGATTGCATTAACATTCCATGGGAACGGTATTCCCTCCGGTGTACAATCGCCTGATTAGACATTGTCGGCGCGGAATTCTTTTGAGGGAACACCCTGATTTCCAACGCGAAGGCGCCTACGAACGCGGCAAGATCCCCGCTAACGCTCGAACTATAACGAGATTATTGAGATTTATTACATCGCTACTTAAGATTACGCCCCACGCGTTAATAACAGCTGATACGATTCATTTTCTAATTACGTTTCACACATTAGCACAATTCATTAGCGGATTCTAGGAGATTTTCTTATTTACATCTTTGTAAATTCTACTATATTTTCTTTTATTTCAATATTATTTATCGATTTCAACAAGTTATTTCCAAAAGAGAAATTTATTTCTTTTATAAAATTATCGGGGACTGAAGAAACCTTTGAAAGTTGACCAAAGCACGAAAATAACGCGATCGAAAATTCTATCGCGGAAATAGATACATTTCTTTTGTTCTATGCATTGGTGATTCGTTGCAAACAAATAGTAAAGACTGAGAGCATCTCGAGTGATGTGTGCTCTAGATGAGCGTCGGTTCGAGAATAGCACGCGGCGGAGAATAGAAAGAAAGAGAATGAGAAAAGATAGAAGGCTGAGAGAGAGAGAGAGCGTTGTGCACGCTTACGACCATCGGGACCGGTCGGGCGATCGATCAAACGCGAATCGGTCGTTCGAGAATCGTTCTGCTGCTACAGGGGGCTCGAACCTGGGCGATGGCTGTTCACGAGAGATAGATTATTACTGCCGGTACGTTGGTATCGGCGTTCTCCTTGTTACCGGATAATGAGTTTATTGTTTAAGAATCACGCCGGAGTTACATGTGCTGCAATCAATTACAATAATGTAATATAATCGTAGCAA